GCTCAGCCAGTGAGCGGCCGGTCTGTATGTGGGATCCGAACCCTCGGCGGTAGTGCCGCCGTGCTTCCCAAGTGGCGCACTGTAGCAGTGCGCCACCGGGCCGGCCCTTTCCATGACCTTTTTGAAGTACCCTTTCATATATTTTTCAACTGTATTGAAGGGTAATTTGATTGATTTTACATATGCGTACACTGTGAAGCCATCACTACAATTAACATTTCCCCGAAAGTTTCCTTGTGTCTCTTTGTAATTCCTCCCTCCTGTCCCTATCCCCACTCAACTACTGATCTCCTTTATGCCACTATAGTTTTCATTTTCTTTTGGATTTGAATATTTTATCAGTTGGATTTTTGGCTATTATCCTTTGGGTTTTCTTTTTGGTAATTGCTTTAGAGATTATAATTTTTCATAGCCTGCTTAGAATAAAAATCATACCTCTTCAAGTAAAATGTAGGAGCTTTGCAATCACATAAATCCTTTAAACCCCAATCTTTGTTATAGTTGTCATATAGATTATATTTACATAAATAAAACCCACACCAATATTATAATTTTTGCTTTCAATGGATATGTATTTTAAAGACTACAAGAGGGAAAAAAATTGTCTTCCATTTATCCAGATATTTACTATTTCTGTTGCTCCTCCTCCTTTCCCAAAGATCCAAGTTTCTTTCTGGTGTTATTTCTCTTCAGTATAAACTATTTCCATTAACATTTCTTATACAGCAAGTCTGCTGGAAATGAACTGTCTTAATTTTTATTTGTCTGAGAATGGTTTTATTTTACCTTCATTTCTGTCTAGGTTGCTTCTCCACAATCCATCTGCTTTTATTTTTCAGTGTCGTCAGGTTGTTGTTGCTTTTGCATTTTGTCTAGTTTGTAGTTGTAATCACCAGGAGAAACTTACACTGCTATGCCAAACTGGAACAATCAAAATGAATTTTTTATATCTGATATAAAAATGGCAAAATATATCACTGAATTAGGGGAGTGTATGGAGTTCTTATACGGACATGTTTCCAGTTGCCCAGGAATACTCTTTTCCAATAGATATATAAGCAAATAATTACAGATGGTGGTAAATCCGAGAAACAAATTCTTTTTTCCAGGTAATTAGACTTCACTGGTGTGCATCCTGACACGCCGTGACTGGAATTGCTGGGGTTCCTTTAAACTCCCGGTAGCACCCAGTTCTTGCCTGTCATGGCCCTTCCAGTCACTGTTGATTAACCTAGTCCACTGCTGATTTACTTGTTTCCATGGAGATTTAAGCCATGAGCTCCAGCACAATAGCAACCTCATCCATCTTATTTACTGCTATATCCCTAGGCACACAGTAGATGCTCAATAAATATTCTTTGAAGGAAAGAGTAAATGTATGCTGATCCTGGCATTTCTGATGTCCCTTACCCTTCCCTACATTTTCCCTGATCTCTAGCCCTTATTACCATATAGGATCATTTATCATATTATTGTTTGTTATCAGTTTCCTCCCACCTCTAATGTAAACTCCGTTAGGGTAAGGATCTTTACCTGTTTGAGATACATTGATGTAGCTCAAGAACCTAGCATGGCATGACGTATACGTACTCAGTAAATATTTATTGAATGAGTAATTGCAAATCAAAGGTAAGCAGCCCTTCCCAACTAATATGCACAACTAACCTGTAATAATTCAACTCAGGGGAGCTTAGTACATCCTGGGAGAATACAGGACACTGGCCCGCAGCCTCTGTCATACCTGTTCTGTTACTGCCATCCTAGTCCCTGCCTTTCCTACTGCTGCCTCTGGCAGGTACTAGGAATTGGAAGACTCATTCTGCACCAGGTGTTAGGAGCAGAGAAACACATTCCTTCTTTCTGGTGACCGTGTCCTGGGACACATCACTGATAAATATGTGGAGAAGGAATTTTTTAAAGATAGCACCTACAATCTTGCAGAATAGGGCCTTTTTACAAGCTAGCTAGACATTTCTCACTGCAGAGAAATAGATGAAAATAGAGTACAGGAGGTTTTTCTGCCTTACTGAAGACTGAATGTCTTTTTTGACAGATCTCAATTCAGACCCCACCCTGCCACTTACCCAGGTCTGAGCTTATTTCCTTATGTGTAGAATGCTAGTGTAGTGTTCCATCACATGGTAAGCATAAGCCTGCAATATATATGTTAGCTATTTTTCTTGATAATTATGTATCTTCCTTCCAGACTTTTCCAATATTATTTTCAGGTATACCTAATATAGAAACTTCCTGGAATTGAGCTGCTTAGGAAACTGGGAGATTATTATTAAAGGTTTTATGGTTCGGGTTAACCCATGTTGATAATTATGTTGTAACTTTATAAGTATACCTTTCTGCTTTAGTCTATCAGAGTGAACATGACCGGTCACACTTGTCTGTGATAACATCCTGTAGGCTACGAGAATGATCTTCAGATCATTCTAAAGAGCAATTTTCAATGTCAAGGACTTAGAACCCTAAGAATATGAGATCTCAGTGAGATTTTCTTGACCCCTAAAACCATATCCTAGAAGTTATATAGTCTTTTTTTTTTTTTTGACCAGTAAGGGGATCGCAACCCTCGGCTCAGTGTCGTCTGCACCATGCTCTCCCGAGTGAGCTAACTGGTCATCCCTATGTAGAGATCTGAACCCGCAGCCTTGGTGTTAACAGCACCACACTCCCAAGTGAGCCACGGGCCGGCACTCTAGAAGTTATATTTTTCATCTCATTGTTATATAAATTATTCTAATAAGAGCAGAATATGAGGTGGGGGATCCACTATTGCAGTGGGATCATTTCAAATATTTGGTTATGATGCCTTCCCCATAGCCTGCTTGTCCTTTGGCGTGCCCAACTTCTCATGCTCCTACACATGACTGGCACATTGGGTGGTGGTGGGGGGAGGTGCACTCGTGTACATTTTTCTATTCTTAAGGGCAGAAAGGTGCAGCTGACCGCTTGACCACATCCAACAGTGCAACACTATCTTCAGCCCTGTAGAAGAATTTGGATGACACAGCTTTTCCTGAAAATCTTGAATGGCTCTGCTTGGAGCAACTGGTGCCATGGAGAATGGTTTCAGGAGGGCCACTCCGCCTCTGAATCATTAGCTGGTGAACCTAGAAGGGAAACCTCCTGCTACAATAACACAGCAAGGCGATGTGATGAACACTTTTATTTACAAATATAATTAAAAGCTCTGACAGTTATCATGCTCTTCCTTGGAACCTGAAAAATGTTTTTGTTTTTAAAGTGCATGCAAAAGAAGTAAAGCCTTTTTTTTTTCATCATTTTTTATTGTAAGAAAATACACAGTTTGAAAGTGTGAATAATGCAATATTTATGACCAAGATATGGGACTTAGGAAAGGGAAGGGAAATAAAGAAAAAGATCAAGATGATCTGATTGAGAGACAGTGTTGAACTCCAAATACTGAATTGGAAAAGGAGGGAGGTGGGGAAGAACAGGAGGAGGAAGTAAAAAAATTTGATCAGAGAAACAGTTAAAATACAATATGAAAATAAGTAATACCTCTCCTTAAATTCCTTCTATACACAAAATACACGATTTGCCAAAGCCCAATTTGTGCTACTGGGATTCTGTGAGCTCCTTAAGTGTATTCACATCCTCTGCAACAGCAGAAAATGATTATGATACAATCAGAATATGCTGAAGACAAGTTAAACTCTTGCCAGCAGGTTCTTAAAAATCACAAGATCTCTTCACCCCACCCACCCCCCCATCCCCAAAAAAGTAATAATATGTCACCACTGATATGTACATCACAATTAGTTTCTGTAAAATGTATCAAATTTTCAATCTTTAATAAAACTTTGTTTTTTTTTTATTCCTGATGAATAAATACCAAAAAAATAAAATAAAATAAAATAATGCAGCAGCTAGTTAAGGTGTAAGGCTGCGGATATTGTGTCTCTCTCCCCCTTGGCATTTATTATTATTTTTTTGCTTTACTTTCACAGATTGGTGGTAATGAGTGATTGCTTAAAGCAATATACATCCACTTTTTTTTGTTGGTTTACTGGTTTTGTTAAAACTGTCTCCAAAGTTTTCACTGAAACATTTTGAATCACATCAATACTGTGACGTGTACTATGAATAGAAGATGGCCAGGTTTTGGCCAGCACTGAAAGTTGACACGGGGGGAGGAAGGGGGCCCCTGATGGAGTAAGAATAAACAGGCACTAGTCCGACACGATGTCAGTAAGAGTAAGAGAGAGAGAGAGTGAGAGCAACGCCCGTTAAAATGGGGAATGTGGTTTTGCAGGGTCTGAATTTTTTTCTGTTTTCTTTTTTTTGTAAATGGCAAAAAATTTAATCTCATCTATAGTCCTCCTTAGGAAAATCTAATGTAACCAAATTCCCAAATCCCATTCTGAGGCTCTCCATGTCAAAAGTTTCAATCTCTCGCTCTTGCCTTTCCAATAAGTACTTGATTCTCTCGCTGCGTTCCTTCTGAAGGGCAGCCAGCTCCTCTTCAATCTGAAATAAGCACAATGAGCAGTTCTTAATGGAAAGGATCTCCCAACAGGCACCCGCAAGCACACATTCCACACACGTACACAAACACACAGGAACTGGGTAAACTAGACCCAAGACAGCTGGGACAGTCCTTTGATAAACGTCTCTAATCCATTATATTTAAAACTTGCTCATGAGAATAAAAATGTTTGGGGCCCACCTGGAGCTAGCAATACCATTCTAGCAAGCCAAGCAGCTGGGCTGATCTAGGTCACTGTCCTGTCTCAGCAGGAGACGGCTCAGGAGAAGCTAAAAGACACTCGAGCACAATTACATTGTGCTGCTTTCCCATAGAGAGTTGAATGCCTCCTGGGTCACGGGTAATTTAGTTCTAGAACAGGAGCTGGGAAAATAGTCTGTTAACACTGGTCTCAGGAAACGACAGGAAGAAAGTGCAAATAACTGGTTAAGCAAATAAATGCTCAACAGCTTTGAGATGCTTTTTGAAATCTATTCTACATCATATTTCTCACGATATCTAAAGTAATGAATATTTCAATTGGGATAACATTTATTATGCATGGCAATATCAGCTTATCTTCATTTTAATTTTTTTAAAGAGCCCTAGTGGTGATTTCTCTTGGTTTAAAAATAGCCAAAAAGCCAAATGTGCATTTGGCTTCTTCATGCCATTTAGCAGCCGTGCTATCAGCTCACTGTACCTTCCATGTGTCATATCAAGTACCCAGTAACCTATGTTACTCCTCTGGCTGTGAAGGTTAAGGGTTTCCTAGCTGAGTAGCAGAAAGGCTTAGGCTGTGGGATCAGACAGACTTATAAAGTAACTTAACCATTTTGAGCCTTATTTTCCTAGCAGGTAGAATGCAGACAATGCCTACCTCTCAGGGGTACTGGGAGTATAAAGCAGATAAGAAGTGAAGAGTGTAACCAGGGAGGGCTCCATAAATGGCAGTTGCTTAGGTCGCATCCCTCCTCTACCCAGCTGTACGGGACCCACCGTAACTCTCATACCTTCTGCTCAAGATGTGCTCTGCGCAGAGACACCCTCTGCTCTAGCTTCTGGAGCTCACGTTCATGTTGTGCCTCTGTTTGCATCTTGATTTTGCTCTGGTAGGCATTGAGCAGCTCCATTTCCTGCTGGAGCTGTAGCCTCAAGGCCTGGCATTCGGCTTCTTGAGCCTCATCTAGCCGTAACTGCGGGCACAGAAGACACACACTGTAATGCACCCCTTGCTTCCAGCACTGGGTGACTGCTGGAAGATGTTTCCTTGTTTGGATTGAAATAGGTCCCCTCAGAAAATCAGATGCCCCGGGCACATCCAGAGTTAGGAATCAAGTACAGTAAAGTCTGCCCACTGGGCCACAAAGGTCGAAAACCACATTCTTCTCAGTGTGGTCTGAAACCACAGAGCAGGTATTATTAGGAAGGCTACACACTCTAGGTATCAAGCCCATGGGCTTTGGAGGTAGAATACTGAGCTTGAATTCTAGCTCCACCATCCACTTAGAGATGTCACCTTGGCAGGTTACTCAACCTCTCTAGTCTCATTTTTTTCATCCTCAAGAAAATAGCCATAATAGTTTCTATTGTCTCAGATTGGTATGAGAATTAAATGAGAGAATTCATGTAAAACTCTAGGCATAGTTATTAATGCATACTAAGTATTCAATAAACAGTAGCTACTATTATTTTTCATTTTGACTAGACCATTTCCATATTTAGATATCTTTAACCCTAAAATAAAACCTTAAAAGCATTTAGATATGCTTAGCTCTAAAAAAAATGAATCCCCAAATCCGTAAAACTTGAGTAATATACCAACCACAGTACTGTTATACTCCTAGCAATGCTGTTGGCCCTTGTAGTTGGCTATAAAAATTATCCTGCTAGCCAGCCAATCCAAAACTCAAGTGGATCAAATACTCTTCCCCACAAAGAGTAGCCTTGGTAATCTTAAAGGGCATATTCTGGTTTGAAGCAGTGAAGTTTAGATTATAAGACAGTCTGGTCAAGTTTCCCTTGCTCCCTGCAGCACCTGAACTTTGTATTATACACCAAGACACTCAGACCCTATGCAGAAAATGGGCCAGGCCAGCCAGCAGAAATGCCAACCTCTCAATTAACAGAGTTGAAAGTTTGGGGCCATTAGTACTACTGTGTCTAGAGAATGATGCACCCTGTCCCAGGCTTGATTTTGTCTAAATTTGGCAGCCCTTCAGTTTGGCTGAGAATTGTTAGAATCTTTGTTTTTTTTTTTTTTCTTTCCTTTTTGTCTTTTTTCGTGTCCGGCAACGGATCGCAACCCTCAGTGTCGCGCCTGTACCGGACCGGGACCGGCAACGGGATCGCAACCCTCGGTGTTGCACCCGCACCTTGCTCAGGCCGGTCTGTATGTGGGATCCGAACCCTCGGCGGGAGCGCTGCCGCGCTTCCCAAGCGGCGCACTGTAGCAGTGCGCCACCGGGCTGGCCCGAATTGTTAGAATCTTTGAATTAGACAGTTTTATGTATTCTGAGTTTATCTTCATTTTTCCATATAGACTACTTTGTCAAGATACTTATTCTCTACCTTATGAACAATTTGTAACAACAATATATCTCAATATCTTGATTGAGAAATAACTTCTTGAAATATAATAGAAACTAATAGAATAGTTTTAGAAAGTTATTTGCATAGTGTCTTCTTTAGTACTTCTGGAGAAATATACTATAGAGATTAAAGGAACACAAAACAGATTATATAATCATATTTTCCAAAGTACCTTCTAATAATTCATCTTAACCAGCTTTCATTAAAAGCCACTAAAGAGGACAAATAGTTCTCCTCTCACTTTCCCTATGGGCAAATGAAGGGAGAAGAGATATGAAACACAACCAACAGTCAATCTGCAGTAGAAACCTACTCACAGATAAACACCAAAGGATTTACTGGCTCCCAGTGAGGACTGTTACTGATTCCCTCGATATGGGAGTTTTCTTACTAATAAAGGCAGTGAAAGCCCTGTTCTTTTCTATCATTATTATTATTATTATTATTATTTTGGCAGCTGGCTGGTATGGGGATCCAAACTCTTGACTTTGGTGTTACCAACACCACACTCTAACCAAGTGATCTATCTGGCCAGCCCCCATCCTTTCTATTTGACTGCATTAGTGGCTGTAAGTCCTGGCCAAGTGGGTGAGAGGCTCATCTTACTGGCTGTTTAGACCACTGAAAATTCTCCTTCTTCTTTTGTTTCTGGCATTCTGTTAATAACGTCAGTAACTATGTTGTTCTGTAACAGCTTTCATTCCATAAAAGGCCCAGCACTAGAAATCAGAGGACATTCCAGCATTTGGTATTCATCACCCAAAGTTACAGATACCAAGTCCACTAAAAAGTTTTATACGAGTATAGGTAAATATCCTAGTATAGGTAAATATCATGTCTGTTTTCTAAAGTGGCTTTAACTGAAGAAAAGGATGTGACAGAGACAATACAATGTAGTAGTGGCCAATCATATAGACGTACAGGCTCCCCACAAAAGGGTTCAAATTCTAGCTCTACCGCTAATTAGCCATGTGATGCCATCCTTCAACCCAGGGACTGGCACACTATAGCCCATGGGCTAAATCTGGCCAGATGCCTGTTTTTGTAAATAAAGTTTTATTGGACACAGACACACTCATTCTTTTATGTATTGTCTATGACTGCTTTTGCACTATAACAGCAGAGTTGAGTAGTTGTGACAGAGACCCTGTGGTCTACAAAGACTAAAATATTTACTATCTGCTCCTTTACACAAAAAGTTTGCCAATTCCTGCACTAAGCAAGTGGCTTTACTTCAATAAACCTCAGTTTCCTCATCGGTAAATTAGAGTTGAAACAGTAACTACCTCAAAGGGGTTTCACAAAAACGAAATGGGGTAACACCTATAAAGTTATTAAAACCGTGCCTAGCACATGGTAAGCAGGCAGGAAAAGATAGTCATGATGATCATACATATTTTTTATCTCCTCCCTGTCTCAGAAGACCATTTCTCTCCTTCCCTGCAAGGGCCATCATGAACCTATATTCCTGATCTCATTCTCCCATCTTACCTAACAAACATTTACTGAACTCTTGCTGCCAGGTACTGTTGCAGTTGCTAAGAATACAAAGATTAATATGGCAAAAATCCTATCAACCTGTATGTGCCCATCAACTCTCTCGCCCCTCCTCCTTACCTTTTGCCTCTCCCTGCACAGCTCACCTTGTACTCATTCTGATCCTGCCCCTCTACTTCCATTGCTCATGTTAAGGTCACCAATGACAATTGTGAAGCCGTCCTTATCTTACCTGACCTCTCAGCAGCGTTTGGTATTGTTAATTGCCCCTTCCTTCTTGAAATCTGTTTCCTGCCTTCTGAGATACTATACTCTCTTGATTTTTTCCTCCCCACTCTGGCTATGCCTTTTCCAGCTACTCCTTGCTTTACTTGGCCGTTCAATGTGGATGTTCCTCAGGGCTCTGGCCTAGGCCCTCTTCTTCCTAAAGAATCTCATCTGTTCCAAAAGCTTCAATTACATTTATATGCAAATGGCTCGCCCACGTACACCTGTGTTTCAGACTTCCCTTCTCAAGTCCAGACTAGCTTATCCAGTCTACTGGAAACATCTTCACCTGGATGTTTCCCAGGATCTCACATTCAACACAATTAATAGTAACTCATCATCTTCCCTTTCCATTCTCCATTTGCTCCATTTCCTTTTTAACCATATAGGTAAATGGCACTATCATCTACCATTTTTTTTTTTTTGTCTTTTTCGTGACCGGTTAAGGGAATCGCAACCATTGGCTTGGTGTCGTCCGCACCGCACTCAGCCAGTGAGCGCACCGGCCATTCCTATATAGGATCCGAACCCGCGGCGGGAGCATCGCTGCGCTCCCAGCGCTGCACTCTCCCGAGTGCACCATGGGGCCGGCCCGTATCATCTACCATTTTGCTGAGACTGGGAGTCATCCTTAATACCTGACTCTCCACACTCAATCTGTCACTAAAGGCTCTCAATTCTACCTCCTGCCTCACTCTCAAATTTAGTCACTTTCCCCTTCATCCCCACTGCCCCCTTTCTAGTCTAGTCACCACTCCTTTGTGCCCAGGTAAAAAAAAAGCAACTTCATCAATGATCTCCTTCCGTTCTTGCCACCCCCCAGGCCATTCTCTACCAGATCACCAGAGTGATTGTTCAGAAATACAAACCTGATGACAGGCCCTTGCTTAACACTCTTCAATGGCTTCCCATTGTTTTTAGGATAAAGACAAAATTCTTAACAAAATCTGCAAGACCCTACATGATCTAGCCCTTTTACCCCTCCAGTCTTATTCTCACACAAGTCTCCTAGTTCTCTACATTCCAAACATGATTGATTTCTGTGAATTCTTCAGAAGCAC